CATCCAAATTTTATGGAGAATACAAAAATATTGTTTCAAATTCCTGTTTTCAGAGCGCTGTTTTTTGATTCTGTTGCTTAAAAGCAACACTTAAAAGCGTTACTCACCATTTCACATGAACTCTGTGTTGTCTCAGATAGGCCTGTAAAAAAATACATTATTAATTCCAGTACTTAGGCAGCACTAATTATGTCTCACAATATATGTTTCAGTTTTTGTAGTGCACACTGTTTATCCTGTGTTTCCCAGGCATAGCTGCAACCCTTTAGCTCTTTTTGATGCTGAAGTTGAGAAGTATTGCCCTGAAAATTACCTGGATATCAAGGTACATTGTGGTCAAGAGTTGTCCTGAAACTGAGTTCGGGGGTTGGTTCAACAAATACTGTCCCAGGCAGAAGGATGATTGCACCTTTGTCCTTAACATCCAGATTTCTAGTTTAGCAGATTCCTCCTGCGTTTCCTAGGACTATTAATGCTGTTTGTTTGAACATAGAAACTCTCCTGCTTGTGCACAAGTAGCGCAATAAACGAACAACTACTTTGCTAAAGATAGAAATGTTTTTTTCCAACAAGGTGGGATTGGCGATTGTGTCTCAGTTTTACAAAAAAATTACATTTTTAGAAAACAGATTGTGGTACAACCCGCTCCTGGCCAAGCTTTTTAACGGAATTAGATATAAATAAATGACTCAATTCTTTTGAAAGCTGCCTAATCTCATGAGACACACAATTACCGAATGTTATTGCAACAATCCATCTCCATGGATACACGCTGCATTTCGTGTGCAGTGAGTCATTCCAAAATTAAATGACAAAGCGAGTGGCCTGGAATGTCTCCCCTGTGTTGTTTTCTCCTCTCAGAAAACCCTTGAACGAGAAATCCAGCAGTGCCAAGCCCTGGTGATCTGGACTGACTGCGATCGGGAAGGGGAGAACATCGGCTTCGAGATCATCCACGTGTGCAAAGCTGGTGTGTAGAGTGTCTTCATCAGTCTGAGTTCCATTAAAGGTTTACCAGCCCCTCAGGGATCTTTTAGCAGAGGCATATTGTCAATCTTCCTGTGTCCAGGTTGAATGCTGACTGTAGTTCTGATAAATAAATGTGGCTCTGATAAACCAGAAACACATTCAGCTGTTGGAAAGCCCGTAGAGCAGGTTGGCAGCACAGTCTTTTGAAGGCAGCTGTTTATTAGTTGCTCCTCTCCACTGGTGTTTGAGTCAGTCTGATTTCTTTTTCCTGTGTATCTGGCAGTAAAGCCAAACCTCCAGGTTTTCCGAGCCCGTTTCTCGGAGATCACCCCTCATGCCGTCAGATCAGCCTGCGAGAACCTCACCCAGCCGGACCAAAGAACCAGCGACGCCGTCGACGTCAGGCAGGAGCTGGACCTCAGGATAGGTCTGTAAACATCTCTTCCTGTGTGCTCAACACAAGGCAGAAACGCCCTCTGTAGTGTCACATACCTGATTTTTTGATCAGATACAACTTAATGGCATCTCATGTTTTGCTGGAAAACGTGGTCTTGGAATGAGAGAATCATTTAGGTTGGAAAAGACCTTCACGATCATCGAGTCCAACCTGTGACCGATGACAGCCTTGTCAACTAGATCAGAGCACTGAGTGCCACATCCAGTCCTTTCTTGAACACCTCCAGGGATGGTGACTCCACCCCTCCCTGGGCAGCCCATTCCACTGTTTAACAACCCTTTCTGAAGAGTTTGTTTCCCTCCCAAAAGGAGGAAATTGCTCCTTGAAGCAAATATTAAGTTCATAGGCCACACAGCACTGACAAGCCTCTGCAACTGAGTATTAAACAAAGTAAAATTAATACTCAGAGTATGAAAGAGAACCATCTCAAGTGCTGTGATTATCATTCAACGTTGTTGTATTCAGTTCTGCTGCACATTTTGTTTTCCCAGGTGCTGCCTTCACCAGATTCCAGACGCTGAGGCTGCAGAAGATCTTCCCTGATATTTTAGCAGATCAGCTGATCAGCTATGGTAGCTGCCAGTTCCCAACGCTGGGATTTGTAGTTGAACGCTTTAAAGCCATTCAAGCCTTTGTTCCTGAAACCTTCTACAAAATTAAAGGTGTGTTTGGGGCTCCATCTCAGAGGGTTTGATGTGCATAGGAAGGAAAAACACTGGAGTAACAAGCACGCAATGCTGCAGAAGTGGTTTCCTCTTCCTCTGCTGTGACCACTGAGCAGAACTGGAAGGTTTCCAGGTGCTTCTGTGATGTTTCCATTTTGTGACTGCTCTATCAGCCAGCTCTGTTGTTCCCCACAGTGACCCACAACCACGAAGATGGCAGTGTGATCTTCAACTGGAAGAGGAACCGGCTCTTCAACCATACGGCATGCCTGGTCCTTTACCAAATGTGTATGGAGGTAAGAAAGCTTGTAAATAGTTCTGTAATCCAGATTCAGCCAAACATTCCCTGTATCAAGACGTTTAAAGAACAGTTTGTGCAAACTCCTAAAGGAGATTTGGGTTTTGCTTACTCTGTTCAGGATCCGGTGGCGACTGTTGTTGAGGTTGTGAGCAAGCCAAAGAGCAAATGGAGGCCCCTGCCCCTGGACACTGTGGTATGTTTGAACTTTGGAAAGGAATTCTCTGAAAGGAGCTGTGAACAGATGTTTTACTCACCACCCTGAATTATGCACTAATGCTTCTGGGTTTTTTTCTGGCCCTTCCCACCTCAGGAACTCGAGAAGTTGGCTTCCCGCAAACTGAAAATAAATGCAAAGGAAACCATGACAATAGCAGAAAAACTCTACACTAAAGGGTAAGAAAGCAAGACTTGGCTTGGTAAACTTCATTATTTTAAAAGTAAATGGCGTTTTGTCCAAACTGGGAAGCATTTTGGAGCACCCCTTTAAGTGCTCTCCTGTCTTTCTTCCTAAGGTTCATTAGCTACCCCCGAACTGAGACCAACATTTTCCCCAAGGAGCTGAACCTCTCTGCCTTGGTACAACAGCAAACACAGGACCCAAACTGGGGAGCATTTGCACAGAGAATTTTGGATCAGGGTGGGCCAACCCCTCGGAGTGGAACCAAGTCCGATCAGGCTCATCCTCCCATTCACCCCACCAAATACACCGCTAACCTGCAGGTGGGTGAAACCAGAGCTAACTCATTTGTGTTGCTTGATAAATAAAGATAAAAGTCTTAATAACGTGGTCATTAGCACAGGATCCTCACCTGAGATCCCACTGATTTCTGGATGGGAGGACACTGACTCTTTTTGCTGTTTGGTGGCAGGGCAATGAGCAGAGACTCTACGAGTTCATCGTGCGCCATTTCTTGGCTTGCTGCTCTCAGGATGCCAAGGGGCAGGAAACAACTGTGGAGATCGACATTGCCAACGAGCGATTCATTGCTCAAGGGCTAATGATCCTGGCCCGAAATTACCTGGAAGTCTATCCTTACGACAAGTGGAGCGATAAGGTAATCCCCTTGAATAACATAGGTGGGAGAGGCTAAAGTAGCATTTCACTGCCAGCTTCAGACCCCTCTGCAAAACATCCTTTGACCTTTTCTGGTTGTTTCACTGAGAGCTTTCTCTGCTGGAAACCTGAGCAGGTTTATTGTGCCAGCTCTGGGTAGATTCTCCCATGTCTGACACTGCAGCAGAAACCATTCAGGTTGTAGGGTTGACTTTACCCACCAAGAGCAGCTGTCCCATGGTCTCTCTGGCAGCTCATTGCTGGCTGATCCCAAGGCCCCTGAGGCTGGATTCCCTCCAGAACAGGCTACTGCTCTCTGACTGCATTGGCTGTTGGTGTGGCATTTTGTCCTGAGTGAATGGACCAGGAAGCAGTTTCAAAGAGATTCTCCTTTCCTTCAGGTTATCCCAGTGTATCAGAAAGGGTCTCGCTTTCAGCCCACCACGGTGGAGATGGTGGATGGGGAAACCAGCCCTCCATTGCTCCTCACGGAAGCGGATCTCATCGCTCTCATGGAGAAACATGGCATTGGTCAGTATTGGCAGCGTGGCCTCTCACTCTTGGCAGAGGGAATTCTCTAAATGTCACTTCAGATAAGAAATCACTTTAAAAAGCAGAACAAAGGGTTATAGAGACCTGTGGGCAAAGTCCAAACATCCTACGGAGCCCGCGGAGTGCCTCCAGTGCCCAGGGAGATGGGTGATTTCAGGTCTAGGCCTCAGTGCCAGTGGGGTACGAGGGCAGTGCTCACCATAAGTTGTGTCCTTGTCCCTTTAGCCCCTTGCACTCTCCCCCAGGCACAGAGGAAGTAACTCCTTGGTACCTGCTCCCACTGACCCCTGTCTGTTTCCAGGGACCGACGCCACTCACGCCGAGCACATCGAGACGATCAAGACGCGGATGTACGTGGGCCTTACAGCAGATCAGCGGTTCCTGCCCGGCCACCTGGGCATGGGGCTGGTGGAAGGTGAGGGCAGTGCCCACCAGCAAGGTGGCAAGTTCCTTATTTTCGCATTCCTTTCGCTTACCATTCCATGTATTCCTCAGGCTATGATTCCATGGGCTACGAAATGTCCAAGCCTGACCTTCGGGCTGAGCTGGAGGCTGATCTAAAACTGATCTGTGAGGGGAAGAAAGACAAATCTGTAGTGTTGCAGCAGCAGGTCCAAAAGTACAAGGAAGTCTTCATTGAAGCTGTGGCCAGAGCCAACAAGTGAGTCCTGTCTTTGCCCTCTTCCCTTTGCTTTGCTGTTCTGGGAGATGCTGGCTGCTCAGCTGGGGCTCAGCCTGGAGTGGGGGATCCTGTCACACTGTTTCCCTGGAGCTCTGCCCGGTGTGTGTGGGCATTTGCACAGCAAGGGATGACTCGAAGCCTGGCACACTGTCACGAGTTCGTGCCAGCTAAAGGTTTAAACCAAGATGAGCAGTTAAGATTAAGTTTGGGGATGGCAACATGCACTGACCTCTTCGATGTTGTTCCCACATCTTCCCTGTTCCAGAAATGTGGTGCTGAATCAACGTGCACATGGAGAAGCTCGGAGGGGCTGTGTGGGGGGCAGCAGGTGCTGAGTCACTGCAGCACCTGATTGCTCCTTGCAGAGACACACAGGATGCTCTGCCTGTTTCATTACAGGTTGGATGAGGCCCTGGCTCAGTATTTTGGAGAAGCTGCAGAGATTCCAGAGCAGGATGAGGTGTACCCAGCAATGCCCGTTTCCGTTCGGAAGTGTCCCCAGTGCAACAACGACATGGTCCTGAAGACCAGGAAGAACGGCGGGTTGGTGACCTTCTCTCTTGTAGCACCTTCTGTGCTGGTTTGTGTTTTCCCAGGCACTCATTTACCTCCTTTGGTAAAAACTTGGAAGCCTTGGGCTGCAGCTTGCTGACTCCACCAGCCCCATAAGCTGTGTGGACTCAGCTGAACCTCTTCTCAAGTAGGTATTTGCCCTTAAAAACTGTGGGTTTGACAATTTCTGATGGCTCAGAAGATGGGAGAACGGATCACCAACTGTCTTGACTTTGCCTCTTCCTCATCTGGTGCCTTTGTCCCACGGCAGGTTCTACCTGAGCTGCATGGGCTATCCAACCTGCAAGACTGCAGTCTGGTTCCCTGATTTTGTGCTGGATGTGACCAGGGATGAGAGCATCTGTGATGTGTGTAAACCCCATCCGGTTCACAGGTAGGTCATACCAGTTATCCCTTGGGGAAACACAGCCCCTCAGGCATTACCTGAGGGTAATCAGACTTCCATGGGCTAGGCTGGGAACCATTTTCCATTCCAGTCTTGGAAAGCTGAAGCATGGTGTGTAATCCCCAGGGCCTGGGGATGGAAAGAAGAAAGAGGGGTTGGGGAAACTGGTCTATGTATAGCAGAATTAAAAATATGTGTAAAAGTTCAAGCCTAAATTGAGGTCTGCTGATGAGAAATGAGATGAACTGGGAGACTTTGACGACTCCTTTCCCTGTAGACTGAAGTTTAAATTCAAGAGAGGCAGCGTTCCGCCCGTGATGCCCCTGGAGTTCGTTGGCTGCATCGGGGGCTGTGATGAGATGCTGAAGGAGCTCTTGGACCTCAAGTACTTACACAGACCATCCCAACCCACGTCGTCAGCCGCCCAACCAGCGCAGCACCTGCAGCTCAACCACTCCTTGAACAGAGCCAGCAGTGAGAACAGGCAGGGGAGGGGGACCACAAACCCGGCACGGGGACACCTGCTCTCCGTGATCTCCAACAGAACATCCAGGGATGCTCCTCTGGCCGCTGTGGAGGATGGGAGTAATGCTGTGGTGTGCAACTGCGGGACCGAGGCGCTGCTGCTCACCGTGCGCAAGGACGGGCCCAACCGCGGCCGGCAGTTCTACAAGTGCAGCTCCAG